GAAGCCAGATTCACTTAACAACCATATTGTTAACAATTGCAGTGATTCACTTAACAACTATGGCAAGAAAGGTCATTAAACAGGCCAAAATTCACTTAACTGCCTCACTTAGCAACAGAGGTTTTGAGCTCACTTGTAAGTTGAGGACTACCTGTACCATGATTGATTTAAACTTCATTCTCTGCCCTTCTGTCCATCAACACCTAATCCCCCACTAAATACAATTAGCTAGAGTCAACAGAGCCTTGATCATAGATAGATAGATAGATAGATAGATAGATAGATAGATAGATAGATAGATAGATAGATAGATAGATAGATAGATAGAATCCCAGAACTGTCTACATGTCCCTGTCCCCAACATCTGTCCTAAACAACTATATCTTCTAAACACAAAAATCCAGATACAGCTGCTGAGTATGGGGAATATTATATGCAAATAACAGGAAATCCCATGCATGCCAAGTTCTCTCTGAAAGAAATTACAGGAATTTGAATCAGATACTAAATGATCCCTATGTTTCAACATCAACTAATAATTTCATCCACAAATAGAAATGTACAAGAAAAAGGTATAACCATTTTAATTACAATATGTTAATCTACTTTATTGAAAGGTTTTTAAAAATACAAGATCTAAATAATTCCTTATTTAAATAATATGTGCCTGTGTTCACATATACTCTTCTTTCATAATATTGTATCATATGCCCTGTATCTGATCATATGCCTTGTATCAGATACAGATACTGTATCTGAACACTTACCTTACATCAGGGGTCTTCAAACTTGGCCCTTTTATGACTTGTGGACTTCAATGCCCAGAATTCAACTCCCAGAATTCCTCAGCCAGGCATGCTGCAGAGGAATTCTGGGAGTTGAAGTCCACAAGTCATAAAAGGGCCAAGTTTGAAGGCCCCTGCCCTACATGAAATCCTGAATAGAATTTATATGTGAGTAATTAAGAAAATGTATCTCTAAATTAATAACTTGGAAGTTAATTTCAAAAACTATTTCAAAAACATATTTAATATTTAGTAAAAAAATATTTCAACCCCTGAACTCATTACAAAATATAACCTCCAGCACAATACAAAAACAAACAAAAAATTGCTGAAAAAAAACATGTTTCCTTTGAGTGCTATGATATTAATCTGGAGGACCAGACATCTGTGTATGTGAATTCCACTAATTTCATGAGAAAAAAATTTAAGAATGTACATTTAACTCCTCTCATTGAAATGACAATTGTGTTTGAATTGAAATTAAAGTGAGCATTAAAAAAAAGGCACAACAGTTTTGTTTCAAAAGCAGCATAGAAGAACTGAGTACAGTTACAAATATGTTACAAAGATCATAGACAGAAGCAGACAATATTCCCTTCAGTTCTTTCAGGCGTCCAAGAGAACAATTTCTTCCAATCCAATACAACTAGATGGGTGGCTGGTTATAGATTGGACATAACAATTCAAAAACCCCACCTCTTTCCTCAGCACACTCGTTACTTCATAACTCTGCAATGATAAAGCACAGCCATTGAAACAAATAATCTTGTACATTTTGTCCTAGCCAGCATACCACTGAACACTCTTCAGTAAAGGAAGTTCTTAAGGACTTTTTCCCCCTTATTTGCTTTTTTACTGCTCCAAACTCATGTAATACTAACAGCTATGAGAAATAATTTTATTAGAAAATTCAGAACTCTGAACTGAAAGCCAAATTTTCTACAAAGGTATTCCAAGAATTTCAACAGAGCATTAGACCAAGAGATTATCCACTTAATTATATTTTTATTCATAGGCCAATATAGTCACAATATTACAAATGGAACAGGTTAACCCAGAATCTGCATTTTTATGAATTCTAGCTGAAAATGGTAGAAGTTGAGTACTAATACATCTAGAAGGCACTGAGTTGGGGGATGTGTCATATGAACTAGAATTATGAAGCCGCTATTTTAAATATACATACCCCATTATCCATGGTTGCTGATTCTAGAAGTGAAGAAATAGACTTCTGTAATAGCTGTTGTAACAGGGAAAGAAGAAAGTATAATTATAAAAACAATAATGTAGTCAGTTTGTATCCCTAATATTTAAGTATTTTATTACCTGCTAACTCTTATCTGTAATTTCACAGTAAAATTTTTCTTGGTCAGGACATTTCACATAAGTAATATGTATTTAATTCTACACAGATTATCTAGAATATTTTTTTGCTTGCTTGTTTTACACCTTGTTTCTATGCTCTGGAAAACATAACTGGTATCAAACACAGGTAGGTGGAGATATAAAAGTAGATTTCTTTCTTCACCTGGAGCTGATCATAAAATACTGAATTAGAACAATATTGTTCTTGTAATACCTTGATTTTTACTGTGGATTTTGGTTGGGAATGGCAATTCAAAAACACTTCCAGATGCATCTTGAAAACTGGTGAAGTTACAACTTCACAGCAATGGCTGCAGTAGGGTAACCCTCTGAAATACATGAGAAAAAGACTATATATCTATCCCCAAATTTCCATGTCAAAGTGTGCTCATAGACTTCTTCACTTTGCACTGTAAGCTAGAACACATATTGTTCAAATATTCCCACCTTCCTTGATTTAATGTGCAACAATCTTGCAAGAGACGAGATAAAAGATAACGAAGAGAACATGAGATTCTCAACTTTATGTTCCAGTGCCAATACTAGGAAAAACATGTAAGTGAAGGATTTCAACCCTTTACAACTTATCAGTTGTTTTGATAAAATGACAGTCATTTTAACCATTTCTGAAAACTGTTCAAAAGATTGCAAGGAGATTTAAAAAAAAAACCTGGCAGGGAAAGGAGCATATAATGTACATCTGGCAGAATTAAAAGATGTGGAAACAGTAAAATGCTACAATACCACTGATCCTGCTCTGCTAATCCCCTGAACAATCAACTATACATTTAGAAAGTTTCTGCTAGCTTATTTTAAAAAGATTATCCTAATCTTTAGCCAAAAAACCTTCCCAGTCCAGTTTCTATATGATCTGTACAATAAACCATCCCTATGCACAAGCCTGTATGAACAGTGTCCATAGTATCATGGCATTCAATTTTAAGTGCAATTTTAAAAGTGAAAATGGGAATCTCATAATTGTTACTTCCACAACACCTAAATGAAAGTGCCAAAATCTTGCAATGCTCTTCTTTCTTTAGGAGCTAATGCTGACTTTTGAATTAAAGAGACAAAAAGGAAAAGGAAAAAGAGATTAGGAGAAACAAAGAAAACAACCAAACTGAGACATCATATTCTTACAAGATATACAGTAATTTTTTTTATTGTAACTCAAAACCAAGAAAGGAACATCATTGCTTTCATTGTCATGAAGGCTACAGCAAAGATACTACTTGGATATAACACAATCATTTTCACAAAAATACCTATTAGACTTTGTGAAGAGGTTTTTTTTAAATATGATGGTTATCCACGATATGTTCTAAGCAGTAATGCAGAAGAAGAAGAGGTTGGTAAGGTTTATGGTCAAGTTCAATTTGAAATTAACAACAGAACATTTAAGCAAGTTGCTTGTGGTTGGAGATTGGCATGCCAATGTTGGAAATATTAAGGAGGAAAACATCACTGAATGTTATGGCCTAAGAAATAAAAAAGAAAAACTTAGCAATTTCAGTCAATCCAATGATTTCTATGATATCTATCTATATATAATGGATATAACTTAGATGAAATACAGAGAAATCAAATTGACTAAATTATTGGTACAAGGTGATGCTTAGTTATAACAACAAAGTTATAATAGTTATAATATAGTTATTTACAGTAATGTGCGAGTAAGCGGCAATATAATTTTTCTAAATAAAATTTAGGAATTTTATTTTCTAAATATTTTTTTTAAAAAAATAAAGAGATGGCCAGGAGCTAACTGTGAAACAAAACATGATATACTCATAACTATATGCAAAATCCAAATCAAGCTAATTGCAGAAGAAGAAAGTTTCCATGGTGTGATCTTGAACATATATCCAGGATTTTCAAGGAGAACACAGGAATCATTTTTAAATCCTGAATCTCATTGATAGGGAAGTAGAGAAATGTGGAATGAGATAAAAGTTGTTAAAGATGAATGTGAAAAGAGATGGAAAAGACTAGGAAACAGAAAAAAAATAAACTAGATATCATAACAAATGGTCAAATTTGCCAACAAGAAGAAATGTTAAAGCCAAGAAGGCCAAATAGGAAGGAACTTAAAATGAATTTCTGAGACCTGTCAAAAGAGACAAGAAGTAGTACTACATTCTTGTAAAGATACTGAAGATGGAAAGAAACATAGAAAACAAGGGAAATCTTCTAAAAAAAAAATCTCCAAATTCAGATGGAGGTTCCACACTTGCTAAAAAAAAACAAAAGGACAGTAGTAACTGATTCCAAGAATACTGAGCAAAGATGGAAGGAACAGACTATAATTTAATAGGGATGTCAACATTCAAGATGCTTAGCAGAGATGTCACTATATCCAAGTACGATATATTTCTTACTTACAAGAACCTCTAGTACTAGAAGATGAAGTTATATAAGTACTCCAATCATTATCAAATTGGAGGACTACAGGAATTGATAAATTATCTACATAAAGTTGGCAAGCAATAAAAAAAATCTGTAAACATTTAAGAGTTATTTAGTATTGATTAGAGCTTTACATGGAAAGGCTGAGAAAGAAGAGACATGGAAAGATGGAAGCAGTAGTGGTTGCTATGCTGGAAAATCAGAAAGATAAGTTGAAGGCAAGCCTTCTTGGGAAAAAACCTATGAGGTACTAAGAGTCAACCCTGACTTAATAATACATAATCACAATTACATAGTAATTCTAGTATTGACCAATTGAAATGGAGCAGTTGAAAGGCAAAAAGATTCTACTCTCTTAGAATCTACTTCTATCTCTTTCATTGTGGTGTCAAGAATAGACTGCAATCAAAAACTTATGATTAGACATCTTGTTCCCAGTAAGACTCAAGTCTGAAGAGACATTGAGCTTTTCATGGAAGAGACATAGAGCTTTACATGGAAGAGACATAGAGCTTTACATGGAAAGGCTGAGAAAGAAGAGTGCTGATTCGTGCTGGATAATTGAAAAAGCCAAACAATACCGAAAAGAAGTTAATACACACTTTATGTATTATAGAAATATTTCAGTTATGTCAAACTGTGGGATGTGCTTAGGAAAATGGGAACCCCAGAATATCTTATTATCCTCAAGAGAAACCTTTACAAGATCATGAAGCCAGAGTCTGGATGGAACATGGTGAAACAGATTGATTCCTGTTCTAGAAAGGAATGACATATACCAGTGATGGCGAACCTTTTAGAGACCGAGTGCCCAAACTGCAACCCAAAATCCACTTATTTATTGCGAAGTGCCAGGGCTGCATCAGCATTGTGGTGCCTTCAGGGGGGGCGGGGTGTGTGGCCCACTGGGTGGGTGTGGCTGCAGTGGTCACGACAGACTGGGTGAGTGTGGCCGGGGTCAGTCCCTCGCCATCTCTGGGGCATCTCCGTGGGGTCAATGCTGTTTGCTTGCTCACTTCCTGCCCTGTCACTTCCAAATGCCATGTGCTTGCTACTCTAGCGAACTCTGCTGGGGCAACGGCATGCGTGCCCACAGAGAGGGCTCTGAGTGCCACCTCTGGCACGCGTGCCATAGGTTTGCCACAACTGACATATACTCTTCCCTTATTTATTCAAACTTTATGCTAAATATATATCGAGGGAAGCTGGATTTGAAGATGATGAGCAGTAGGAATATTCTGTACTGTTCTTATGACACTATGCTGATAATTAAAAATTTTAAATTTAAATGAAAGCATATGAAAAAATAGGACTAAGATTAGACCAAACTAGTGACAATAAATACATTACCCAGTCTTAGAATTAAGACACTTTGATGCCATGATATAGCTGTATCTAGTTTTTCTGGTGATATTCTTATGTAAATAAAAAGTTGTACTGTCAAGAAGTAGGATAAAAGAGTATTGATAATTTGGATGCCAGTGTTGGAGAAGAGTGCTGCAATATCACAGATAGCCAAGAAAACATACAAACGGATCATAAAACAAATCAAGCCAGGCTTTTCATCATGGCACAAATGATCCAGCTCGAATTATTATATTTGGGCACATTATGAAAAAATCTATAAAGAAGTCCATAATGCTGGGAAGGTAGAAGAGAAAAATGGATGACCAGCAACAAGGTGGATGGACTTATTTACAGCAGTAGTGGTTGCTATGCTGGAAAATCAGAAAGATGTTGAAGGCAAGCCTTCTTGGGAAAAAACCTATGAGGTACTAAGAGTCAACCCTGACTTAATAGTACATAATCATAATTACACAGTAATTCTAGTATTGACCAATTGAAATGGAGCAGTTGAAAGGCAAAAAGATTCTACTCTCGTAGAATCTACTTCTATCTCTTTCATTGTGGTGTCAAGAATAGACTGCAATCAAAAACTTATGATTAGACATCTTGTTCCCAGTAAGACTCAAGTCTGATGAATCTCTGTTCTGCGATTGTCAAGAACCATTCACACAAACCCATTCTCTAAATCACTTTAGTTTTTAAAAAGACATTCTGGGAAGACAAATTATAGTTTCATGAAGTGGCCATTTTTTGCTTTCCCTTAAAGCACTTCTTTTTGCAAGACTTAATGAAGTTAGAACTATTCTTATCAATTGTAGCACATGATATTGGCACAAATACAGACATACTATGTTCTATATAAGTGCATAGGAAATAAGAATGCTGCTGCTATTGTAAATACTATTACTATAATCTTAATCAATTTTACTGGATGACTAAGAAAAATAAATGCTGGAGAGGAGATAATATACTTTATATTTATTTTCTTTGCACTCTTTATGATTTTATAACCCTTCCAGTTGGGAGCTCATCACCTGGACAACAAACAAAAACAGTTTGTAAGGGAGCTAGTGAATCTGGGGAGCTGATCAACTATTTATAAGGAAGGATCTTTGTTAATTGAGTGAGATTGATTTTTTCCCCTTGCTGGCTGGGTATGTGTTTACTTGCACTCTGAGCACATGGACTGAGGGGAGGGGATTACAGCTAAGTCACTGATCAAGAGATTAGTGACTTAGGCTTTGTAGCATTCCTTAGCCAATAGGAAGTCCCAGCCAGCAGTCTTTCCAAAGAGGAAAGATAAGAGAGGAGCTCAGAAGCAGAACAATTTAATAGGAATGGGAGAATTTTATGAAAAAATTAAAAGGAAGATGAAACACATACTGATCTCCCATCTCCAAAGGCTAAGTATCAAGATGTGTTTAGATATAACATGAGGAAAACAGGGGTACGAAATCTATAAAAATGTAACATGGGATAAAACAGTTAAAGGAAAAAGAATCCAAGTTATTAACAGGATGTAGGATAAAGATAGAAAGCCAAGGGAGAAGGTATTTTTCCAGTTTACTCCACAGAG